TACACCTGTAATTCAAGGAAGCCCCTAAATGTGCAATGAATGTCCATAAGAACTCTATGCTTTTTAGGAAGTTCTGTGTTACTTAGAGATATCAGATAACTAAACTAGTTTGTTAGTTCTGGGACATAACACACTTCCCCCTATGTGGGAGAGGGAGACATATAGTGTCTTTTCCAATTTATATTTCTGGCACTGTTTCCAACAATCTTTTCCAATTAAATATCTGGCATGTCAGCAAGTATGTAAAAATTGTGTTGGCATATGTAAAGTGCAAAACAAAAGTTTGGGGAGATTTCCAATCCAATCCAATTGAGAACAATTTCCTTAAAAGCCAATTGAAGGAGTTTGTGACAGCAACTGTAACTGACCATTTTTTTAAAATTAGTTTTACTCTCTCAATTACTTGCAAAGAATATCCACTGGAAGAATCTCCCCCTATCCTTTCCATGGGGCACTGAATTAGTCTGTATCACAGCAGTGACACACTAATTGACTGCAACATGGTTTCATCTAACCTACAAGTTTGTGTTTTACCCTTCTCTTCTATAAGAAGTTTGTGTAACAGTGAAATGTGCAACTCTTTCTTCTTGTGGGGCTTACAAGATCACAACAATTTTTGAATAAACCACATCATGGACTTTTTTAGTGCAAAGGAATACTGTTTTCAATGAAACATTTACTACAAAGCTGCAGGCTCAGCTACTCCCCAAAAGGAACAGAAATACATAATGACTTACTGTAAAATAATCTTCTGGTGGTCCTACTCTGAATTTATTTACTTCTGATTTCAAGTGGGGCCAGGCAAGACTGCTAACAAGACAAGTAATAACCTGAATAAAATATGGGGCAACATTTCCAAGGAAGGTGGACCTCACTTCTGACCATATCTCCTCCTGTCTGCTCTCTGCTCAAGAGGAGCAGCCATACTGCCAGCCCCAAGGACACGGGATTGCTGCACCGCACCCCGGAACAGGGGCAGCCCCAGGGGCCCTCCCTGTACCTCGGGTAAGGTTCCAAATGGGCAGCTCTAAACACCTGCCTTACACAGGGAGTGCATTTATTTAAGCATCCTTCCTGGCCAAGCTCAAGCCACAAGTGATTGAATCTGGCAGATTAGCCAAGCTATAAAAACTTGCATCTCTCATCTTTCATCATCTACTTAATATGAAAGTAGATATCCTTGCAGTTCATTCAGATTTCTGATCCATTAAAAGGAACTGCATATTCTTGATCTGAAGATAGCAGCACCCAGTTTTAAGGGGTAATTTCCTCTTGTACCAAAAAAATATTTCCAGACAGGAGACTTTTCAAGTTTATTGGGAGTACCACCACTCTTTTACTGACAGATGAGGGAGATATGTACACCTACTTTATCTTTCCTGACCTATTGTTTATTCATGAGATATAAATGATACCTCCCTTATAGTTCCTTCCTTTTAGTTCTCTATAAACAGAGATTGAGAGATCTCATTTTTTTCTCCATGGAACATCTCTGGACTACCACTAAGCCAATCTAGAACCATTCAGTATCTCAGATAAAGTGACAGGGTAGCAGGTGGGTTTTTAAATAGCAGCTACTCTGTCCAAGCCTTATTTATTTATTGTACATAGAAAAAACAGGCCCTACATACTTTCTGTTCATAAAAGTCAGGGCCAACATTTTGATAACATTGTTTTGAATGTTACAGAATCATTTTTTTTTCTTTTTTTTTAAAGTAATGAGTGTGAAGTTATGCTTCAGAGGCTTGATTTGTAGCAAGGCTATTTCATCCCAACTTCCAGTCACACATCAGGTTGCTTATCACCTTTGGGAAATAAAGCCACGTGTATTTTATTTTTGAAAGTTAAAAAATCCCTAAGAAAACGAGGCAAGAGAATAATAGCTCTTTGGGGACCGCATGAGCGCTGGTCTATGCCAAAGTTCACTGCTGTCTATGGAGGAGTTTCAGTGACCCCAAGAGGCCTCAAGGCTGGTCCCTGATCACTAAAGAATGGATGCAACTGCTTATGCCACAGAGTGTCCACGGCAGGAAGATACAGAAGCAATATCAGTCCTTTGAGCTTGCTTCCAAAGAGCTTGGGTATTGGTAAGACTTTTCTTCCCTGGTATCATACTCAGGCTGTCTTCAGAAAGGGCTAGCACTGTTTATCGTAGTCACCCTGATGAGCAAGACAAATTTGGGTATTCTTGGGATTAAGTTATAACTAGAAATCCTGAACACTACTAATTTATCAACAGAATGCTGTACAACTAAAATGAAACAATGAAAAGAATAAAACTCCCCAATGCAGTACGTAGTTTTTTCAGCAAATAGCACAAATTCAGGATCCAAGAATTAAGGTAAAATGTTATTGCTGTGTGATTCTATTCAGAAATTCAATGATTATAAAACAAATCAACCAGAAATAATGTTTCACATTGGTCTGACAGGATCTGCTTAACAAAGGAAGACTTACACTTACAGAAAGTCCTTATGAAAGTTATTTTTTTTTGTCTCAAGTATATATTGCTTCCTCTCTATTGCTCTGAGTTTACTCAGCACTTTATAGTATCCACATCATGGAGGATTTTATTGCTCTTGTGCTAAAAACATGTTTCTCTTTATTGCTGAAATACTGCTATTGGGGGAAATGATTAAAAAAAAAAAAGAAAAGAAAAAAAAGAAGGTAAAACAAAAGACAATTAAAAAAATCCTCTCCTAAGCTTTGATGATGAATGTATGAAAAAAGCTGACCACAATAAATTTTTCCCGTCAGGATACAACCTGTTACTGGCTTTGGGACAAGTGTGTTAATAAATAAACATGAACTTCAATTCTTTAAACTAAACTATATATTAGGAAAGAAAAAAACAACTTTTGTCATTACAATGGAGATATGAAAGCTACTTCACTGCACACAGAATGGTGCCTCTAACCCCCCATGTCTTATGCACTGTTGCTGTTTGATGAGACAACAAAATATCAGAAACTGCAAGTTGGCTGGATTTCTGCCAGTTTCAGGAGGACCTTGGGTGGATACTGGCACCTCACCATACAGAACAGAGAGAGTTTCTTAATTCTGCAGGGTCTGAAGGGTGGCTGGCTGTCAAGCAATTCTTCTGAGTGGGTGAGGCAGGCAGCTTTGCACCCACAGCTCTGCCCCTATTTCCCAGATTTTTTTCAGAGGTGTGTTATGGAGCAGCCATCCCAGTGCTGGTAAAGCTTGCCCTGACAGCTGTAGGCAAACGCATGTCATTGACTTCCAGTAGGATTCTCTGGACTATGCTGCACAGCCTCAATTTTGGAACATATTTCTGGAAGAGGCAAAATCCTCACTGGAGGTCACAGTAGTATCTTTGGAGGCAGAATCGTGTTTCTCATCTGTGGTAGAAGGTAACCATGCACAACTCAAACAAGGGCAAATCACATCCCTATGAGCCAGCTATGTGGGATTGCTATAATTAATCCTTCTTTCTTCCATTTGACTTGCTCTGCTCCTCAGGAGAGAAGCTTCCAATTACAAATCTCTCTGCTCTGGCACAAGGAAGAGGTCGGCTCCCCCGGCACACTGGAGAGCCTCCGTGGAACTGAGCAGCCTGTGGAGTGAGGAAGATGACAAGGACACGAGGTGAAACAGCATGAGAAGAGGGAATGACATTAGCTCCCTCTGTGCTGTTTTTCTCTGGCTTCCCTACCACACAGGTGTTGCCTAGAGAAAAACACTAATGCCTGTGAGGTTATCCAAGAGGATGAGGGTATGTCTGTATAAGGAAAACAACAGCTGCCCTCAGGTCTGAATTTTGGTCACAGTTGTAGCTGCTCATCTTCATCATACTTTTAGCAATTTGATACAGAAGAACAAATAGTGGAATAAGCAGGGGGAACAAAGTTTGTGTGACTTTAACTTCTTTTTTCTTTTAAAAGTGCCATCCTACATTATTCAGACTCTCTACATCACTCATCTCATGACTTTTACTGCCATTATTTCCCAATAGTTTACATACTTGCCAAACTGCACACATGTAGCATGGATTTTTATGAAGTGACTATTTCTTATACAAAAAATTTTAAGAAAATTCAATGATTAGAGTTTCAGTATCATTCATAAGTAGATAAAGAACACCAATACCCTACACTGAGCAGAGGTCATAGTCTAACTTGCTGAGCATCTGTAAATCACAGGGAAGCCAGGGGAGCTTCAAATTCACAGCTCTACTGGGTCATGCCATGCAATTATTATTAAACTAATCAGATTACCAAGTAAGAACCAAATATCATGAAGGTTGAACCAAATAAACAACGGAATTTAAACCCAGCATTGCAACTAAAATTAATTATTGCTCATAAAAATGTCTACAGAGCCTTGTTTACAGACAACTCACATTTGAGATTCAGCTTTCTGTATAGCATATGATTCTTAACATCACAGAAACTTTGCCACAAAAAGCTACAGTCATCCAAACGTCCACATGAAAAGGACAGATTCCATTTGGAAAAATCCAGACCAGCAGCGCAGTTGTCTCTACTATCTCTACTACACAGGTATATATTTTCATTGAACTGTAAATATTGCTATTTTTACACTTGAGTTTTGGATTATTTTTTTTTTTTTAAATGGAAGGTACTGAAGCAACAATACAATATGCTGACTTTGACATTCAAGGGAGCATAACCTCCTGCTGATGCCAGGGCATGAACACTCTGAGCTCCCATCAACACTAATGGCAGAGGTACTCTAAACTCCCATGCGCTGACATGAGGGAACACCGTAAGTTTCACGAAGACAAGTGCCAGGAATATTTTCTCTCTGACAATCAGGTAGTCTTCAAATCAGAGAACAATGCTCTGTTTCTAGTGCATTTTAATGTGGCTTCGGTGGAAGGTTAGAAGCAGTTTGAAATCTAACCATTCATGAGAGGAAGCTCTGCTTTCTAGACCAGAACTATAATGAAGTCCTGTAATGAACTGACATGTGTACAGCGCAAAGAATGAAACTGCCAGAAAAGGAGAAAACACTGCTTCATCTTGCAGTTCTGGCTGCATATAATTATGAAGTAGATATGCTTTGAGAATTTATAAATGTTGGTATTTAAAATTACATAGGAGAACAGTGAAAACAAATAGTATTGACTTGGTAACAACATAGGGGAACCATTTCATGTAGCACTAAATATGTGCTGCAAGCAATCTGTAGGTTGTTTTATGAAACATTTCTTACACTCTTCTGGAAAGATAAACTTGTCTGAGGAACCTAGTTTTCAGTCTATTACAAATGCATAGCCGAAAGAGTCCACATTGTTTCATCAATTTCAAAGATAGCCCCATCAGTTTTAAAATCAACAGCATAGTTCCAATGTCCCGTGGGCAAGTGCAAACGTATGTCTGACTTTTAAAAAGGAAAGCAATGCATATCTCTTGCTTTAACATCCAGCCAGAGCACATGAGAGAACAGGTAAAAAAAATCGAAAAATCGTCAACCTAATTCATGCTGAGACATAAAATAGAAAGCTGCACAACTACTTTCTCACTTAGAGCAAATTAGTTGCACTGAGATTATTACAATAAATTCCATATTAATCAGTACAATTGGCCATTATTTTGAAGACTATTCTGATGATATACAGATGGGGTAACAGGACTTGGTTGGGTTTTTTATTTCTGTTTAAAAAAATAAAAGAGGAAAAAAATATCCTAAGAACAGATTGTAACATGCAGTGTGACTAAACCAAATCACATAAACAATTTTAAAGGAGTATGCTGTTTTGATCTTATTTTAATTAGAAAACTTAATGTAAAATCATGGCAAACTTGGCAAAGTCTGGGTAACATGACAAAAAGACCCTGAGCAACGTTATAAATCTGTTAAGAACACTGATTCTTTTGATTTTGGAAATCTTCCTTAAACCACTCGATTGATTTTGGTCGCTGGGGTTTTCTGTTTACCAAAAGGTCAGTCCATCCTGTGGTTTTTATGTGAACCCATCACACACCATTTAATGAATGCATCTAAACCAAAGACAGAATGTCTGGAAAATAACAAGTTAAGGAGCGTCCTCGTGGCTGCCAATCAGACATCACTGGGTGATCTTGCCCTCTGAGACAGGTTAGAAGGAATACAGCCACAACAGACGAGCCAAAGTGCTTTCTGTATCTCCTGGTTTCTAAAAGCATATATTACAGGATTGATGATGGAATTGTAGGTAGCTGGCAGGAGGGTGGCATAGGTGTATATAGAAGGATAGGTGTAATCTGCTATTAAAGAATAGAGCGTAAAAGGCATCCAGCAAGCAGCAAAAGTCCCCAAAATAATGGCCAAAGTAGACACTCCTTTTCGGGTGGTCACATAGTGGGAAGTGGCCAGGAAATGGTGTTGCAAGGCAATCTGATGGGCATGGCGCATCACGATTTTACAGATCTGAATGTAGAGCTGCAGCATGAGGGCAAACATAAGCAAGAAAGAGACCGAAAGGACAGCTGCATTATTTTTAGTGAGTGGTCTGATAACACTGCAGGTGGATTCATCTCTGAGACAGTTCCAGCCCATTACAGGCAGCAGTCCAATACAGATAGATGCTCCCCAGAGCAATATAAGCATGACATAGGTAAAAGTCACAGTCCTCTCTGAATTGTAAGTCAGAGCATAATACAGGGAGAGGTACCGATCAACAGTGATAGCCAGCAAGCTGCCAACAGATGCTGAGAAAGAGGCAACAATCAGTCCAATCGTAACCAGTTTCGTAGCTTCTGACTGCAGAAGGTAGGCAAAAACAAAATTGATGATCAATCCAATGCCTGCTAAGAGATCTGCCAGCGCCAGGCTGCCTATCAGGAGGAACATGGGGGCGCGAAGACTGGGATTATGGAAAATGATCAGGACCACAATGGCATTTTCGCAGGAGATAAGGGTCCCTGAAGTACACAAGACAATGTCCCAGGGGTTTACCAAAAGCTCTGGCTCAGGGTCTACGGCAGGAACCAGGGAGGAGCCTGCAGCTGAGGCATTCTCTGTAGAGCTGGCTTCTACATGATCCTGAGGCAGCCAGCTCAAATTAACCTTCAGATCTTCATTCATTTTAACCCCTGTCTTCTTCAACAGAAAGACATTATTTTTAATGTTCAGCCACAGCACTGCATACATCACCCCCCCCCGGAGCATGCAACGCCCTAGACAGCAACACCAGCCTGATGTGCAGGCAGGCACTTGTTACATAAATGTGACAATAGAAAATAAAAACAAAAACGGGGGAGGGGGGAGGATATTTAAACTGCCCGAGATTATCCTCCAAAGGACCGATGCACGGAGGCTGAGTGATCCTTAGGGGAACCTGCACGGGGAGGCAGGCACGGGCACGGGACGCAACCCACAGAGCACCTAAAGCCCCCTCCAAGCGCCGCAATTTGGGGTGGGGGCCGGCTGCGGGGCGGCGTAAACCCCGCTATCCTGCAGCCGCGATTCCAAGGCGGGATTGATTATATTGGTCACGGAGGGAGCGGACAGGATGGGGAAGGAGGAGGGGAGGCGGAGTATCTTTCACCGACCCCCAGTGAGGAAACCCCGCCCGGGCTGGGGGGAGAGTAGGGCGATGTCCTCCGAGAACTTACAAACTCGACGCGGACACCGCGCACACACGCACACACACACACATATCCCCCACGCACCCCCAGCGGCGGATCACCTGGGCTGTCCCCCGGCGGCTGGGAGGAAGGATGGATGAAGGAAGGAGGCACGGAGGGNCGCGCGCCTGCGCAGGTGCGCGCGTGGGAGGCCGTGAGGGGGGAAAAGGGGGCGGACGCCCCCGCCCCGCTCCTCCGCCCCCCCGAGGCACAGCCGCGCCCGGCCCTGCGGACCCGGTGGCCCGCTGAACTCCCGCTGGTCCCCGGGGACCGGCCGGCTTTGCCCTTGCAGCGAGAGCCTCCTGAAATTATTTAAATGAAAATTTTCCTGGTCTTGTGGGGGTGGTCAAGTGCTGGCGGCACGGGTTTGCCCAGAGAGGTTGTGGTGTCTCTGCCTCTGGAGGTAACTCGAAAGCTGGTGACATCGCCGTCCCTGGCAGTGTTCGAGGCCAGGCTGGGTGGGGTCCCGAGTGACCTGATCTAGTGGGTGGCACATTCCTGCCCATGGCAGGACATTTGAAACTAGATGGTCTTTAAAAGTTCCTTCTGACCCAATCCATTCTACAGTTCTGTCATTCTGTGGTCCTGAATGACCTGTTCTAATTGGCAGTGGTTTGAGAAGTGGGGTTGGACCAGACCATACCACAAAGGCACCCTGGAGCCTAACCTTTCTGTGATCCTCTGGTCTACAACCACATGAAAATGAGTCATAGAATGCTAAAATCAATTAGGTTGGAAATAACCTCTGAGATCATTGAATTCAACCCATGACCAAACACCACCGTGTCAGACAGACCGTGGCACTGAGTGCCACAACCAGTCTTTCCTTAAACACCTCCAGGCATGGTGACTCCACCACCTTCCTGGGCAGCCCATTCCAATGTTAAATCACCCTTTTTCTGAAGAAATTCCTCCTGATGTCCAACCTTCCCTGGCACAGATTAAGGCTATGTTCTGTCATCCTGTCACTTGTCACCTGGGAGAAGAGACTGACCCCCACCTGGCTATGACCTCCTTTCCAATAGGAATGACCTCTTGTAAGTGATCCTACTTTGAGAAGTGGGGCTGGACCACACCACTCCCAGAGACGCCCTGGAGCCTCAACCATTCTGTGAGTTCATGCTCTACAACCACATGAAAATGAAAATACGGTATAAAAAATTTAAAAGAGTGATGCCCAGTGTCAGGTCTAGAGCAGGTAGCTTCTGCCTGTGCAGGGAGCCTGCTGGGGTAGCATGGGCATGGGGATGCCTGCCATCTCTGAATGGTGACATTAGGGACACATCGGCATATTTACAAAGCTGTTAGATACTGAGTAGTGCAGGCAGGCCACTGGGGCTTGGAGTGAGCTGGAACTAAACTCGGATATGGGCCACTGGGTCAGAGGAGCCACACCAAACAGCTTTAAATGCCAAATATAGATGGTTTCTGCACAGAACATAGTCTCCCAAGGTCCTCTGTACAGTCAGTGGACAGAAGTGGGTCCTCCAGGGCATGTCAAAATAGTGGGATGAGTTTTCTACAGAGGAGCCTGGAAAATTTTAGGAAAACATGCTTTGTCCTCATTTACACCTCTACCCCTCTGGAAAATCAGGCCCTGGGGAATGATTGGAATCTGGAGAGAAGATTTCCTTCTCCCTTGTTGAGTTATGGACTCAGCAAGTCTGCGTGGTTCCATCCTTCATTCAGATCGACCTCAGTCACTGTGCTAAGCCTTGTGAAACTTTGCTGGATGACTCAAGATGATTCATTCATATTTCTGGTGCCCCTCCTGCTTTATAATAAGGATTAAAAATGGATATCACCTTGCTGCTGTTCATTGTCTTCCAGTTTTATCCAGTGCTTTCTTACGTGACAGTGTGACAAATACTTTCCTGTGATCCATATCTGAATATGTTTGGTGTGTTTCATCATCTGTCACTCTTCCATTTAGAACAGTTGCAATAAAAATGCAAAAGCTTTTCTTCAAATGTTTTAACATTTGTTTCACAAATGGCAATGGCGAGTGTTTCAATTGAATATTTTAATTTAGGACTTTGGAGAGCTGTGTTTATTCACTTATTTAATTTGTGAATGATTTCCCTTCTTATTATAAGACATTATAAACAAGCTAATGTTTGTCTCCTATATTGCCAGTTTGTCACTTTTTCCTGAGATGGTGGACTGTTGTCATTAGGGCAAATGGCACTGGCATGGATTTCACCCAGTGAAACAGAACACTTGCCATTTAGAGGAAAATCTCTGTTTATTAAAATCTCTGGCAATATGAAGATTACCAGGTGCAAAAAATTAGTGATAGGTCATAGCTTTTAAAGAACTTTTGTACCACTACCTTGCTATTTATTTCTGTCTCTCATGAACCTGCACATAGATATGTTTGCTGACCCTCAAGCTAGCACAGAACAGCCTAGTGCTGGAACAGGAAGCAGAGGTCGGGCTGTGCTGGCTTTGGACCCAGGATCTTAGGATCTGTGTCTGACGCTGTGAGTGCCATGGTGACGTACAAAGATACTCTGGCCCAGCTCAGGTAACACAACATGACTTTGCATAATAATGGCATATCTTGAGGAATATATTTGCCTGTGAGGAGTAATATACCTGTGGAGTCTAGTGCTGTTATCTGTCTTGGTCATAGTCTGGAAGTTTCTCACTCTTCAGGAAGTCTGTGACCTGCTGTGTCCTGGAGGTTTGGGTGAGTTCAGGGACATGCCTTTCTTTCCTTCAGGTATCTGTGACTGGCCATACATGGCAATCTCCTCTGCAGGGTCATGCCCCAGCTATGTCCTAAGGGGCAAGTCTGCTTCCAGGACCCCATGTGCCATCGATGGGGAGCCTCTTCATACAGTTGAGGGATGGAAAATGTCATCTGCTCCATTGCCTTCCTGGTCTGAACAGGTGGAGCATCAGGCTTTGGGATGCATCCTGAGTTACCAGCCGGTAAATTATAGAGCTATCCACAGAAACGAAACAGTCCCATTCAAATAGAAAAATTGTCCTGAAATTACACATTGACATATTTTTCATCTGGGTCCCTACCATCTAGCAAGCTTCCCTTCAGGAAATCCAGCAGGGTCCCATGCCTCTTTTATTCCATCCTAAGCACCCTCTCTCTATTCTTAATCTCTGTGTTTTGACTCCTAGTCTTTCATCCATATAATCAAAGCCACCCTGAGGGAGTGCCTAGTCAAGTGTGAGTCCTCATTACCTGGAATTATTTTTCCTTTGGATTTTATTTTTCCCCCATATGTAGTCTTATAGTGATTTAAATAAAATTAAGGAAAAAAAGGTCATATTCTGGTAACAACTCTTGCAGATAGTGATGGTTTGCTGTACAGAAGAACTGTGAAAACCCTAAATATATGACAGCAGCCCTTGTGCATTGTAGAAATGGCTTTTGTTAGAATTTCCTTTCAGGATATTTCATCTTCACATTGATTTAATCTTCAGTGTTACATGAATTTCATTTAGACACTCAGACCATGTAATGAGCCAAATTCTTCCCATGTACAGAACTGTGCAGTTATTACTGATCTTTCAGAATCTTTGAACCACATACCCTGGTTAAATGGGCTGGGCACTGCACAGCCCATTTAACCTTTGTTTTTTATTTTAACTTTCTCTTTTTTTCCCTCCCATTGGCGAATCAAGTGTTGGAGTCTTCACTTATTTTTTTCTGAATTGTTAGGCAAGCTGGAAACAATTAGTAGGAGCATAACTAAAGTAGGGGTTACATAGAGAATATTTTGGGTTTATTCTAAATCAGTCTTTGTCCATTTCCAAAGGAAAGAAAGAGAATAGAGCATAAAAGAATACTTGCCAATTTATATCAATTTAATAGAAAATAAGTCTTGTCACATAGATATTATTACAATGGCAAGACATGTTTTGCTCCTCCACGGATGCAATAGATTTTTGAAAGGCGTTTATCTTATCATATGCCATTATAACAGAAGTGCCAATTTTCATTAAAATTCTTATGAAGGGGATTAGTACCTGTTTTCTTACAACCTCTTAAAACACCAGGTTCTGACAGAGCCTGTGCTAGACTTGCAGTTATTCCATAACCCACAGAACAGGCAAAGAATGGATGTGTTATAAAGACAGGTGGACATTGTGCTAAACAAAGAAGACAGCAGAGCATTCGGGGGGTAGGCGGGGGAGCTTTTGTCACACAGCTTGTTTAGGCAATTTATTTTTTAATATCTACAGATATAAACATAACTGTATTTCTAAGATAAAATTATTTAGTCATTCCTACATTATAGGGTACCAAGTACAGGACAGCATTGTGCATGAGTAGTAGCTGGCTGTATGTGAGTTCCCTATGCAGAGCTGTGACAGATGGCTGCTGTGATAAAAAGAGAATCATGAACAGAAACAGGGAAATACTTATTACTTCTGGACAGGGAACTGAGGAGATCAATATTTGAAAGCTTTATACAGTCCAGGCCAGCGTGTTTTAAAAAGTACTGAGAAATGAGAGCGAATGCAGGAAAGAGTCACAACAATTATTCTGAAGAGCTGAGGAAATTTCTCTGTTCAAGTTAGTCTAAGAGAAGACCAAGAAATGCATGGATTACAGCATACTTTCACCATGATTTTGAATGGATCTTGAATCTGTCAGAAAATGGTGTAATGTTTGGAAACTGAAGTAAGAGAAGTTCAGATTCAAATCTAAGCTCAAGATTTTAATTCCAAGATAATTATGCTCTGGATCAGCACATTCAGGGCAAGTAATGGTTCCATTTCCTCTCAACACCTTTTTGGAAGATACTTTTATCAAAAACAAATTCAATACAGCCACGTGCCAGAATAAAAACCTTACCCAAAATTAGTAGTAATTTAATTTTTTCCTTTTTGCAGGACATTATAGCAAGGAGAAGTTTCTTATAACTCACAGCATGTTCTCTTCAGGTGGAAGAACTTGGTACTCTGATGGTATGAGATGTTTGAAAACAAACCATTTTCCCCTGGGTTCTCAGTAGTCTGGGCTGCTCTGAGGAGTTGTCCTAGCCTGATGGGATCCTTGCCCATGTCTGATAAATGGCTGAGTATTCATGGTCTTCAAAAGTGTCTGTCTTGGGGGCATATTTCCCTGCAAATATATCTCATGTTTTTCTTGGTAGCTAATGTCTCTTTCCTGCTTCCTTTAACACAACAACACAACAGAAACTGTTTTTCTTTTAATTCTTTTCATAGGTACTTTAAATAACATTTTTTTTTTTTTTTTTTTTTTTTTTTGAGGGGGATGGTGGTGATTTACCATGGGTGGGCTATTCTGGAACTGAAGAAGGTGCACTTTTATAAGCAGATTTTTGCTAGTTTTTTATTACATTGGCAAAAATTGTTTTCATTACAGTCTTCTTTTACTAGTTGGGCATAAAAAATGAGATGAATGAGTGAGAAGCACTGAGCTTCTTTAGAGCTCCACAATGGAGTTCTTCAAAAGACCACAGAGGACATCAGAGAAGAGAAAATGAGACAAGCATATTAAAGATATTAAAATGTGTATGTTGTCCTGGGAAAAGGACAACCCCCTATATTGACCATGCTTAAGTAGAAAGGCTGGCTTGCAGCTGTATTTGGTTGCTCTGTTGGCCAGTAAAATCGTATCTCAAAGTGGAAAATTATTTGAGACACGTTGATTATTCTGCGTATTTTATAAGATGATAATGGGCATTGTGTCTCTTAGAAGCATGGAGAATATTTCTGGGAGTATTCTGAAAAGTATGTCCAGTTATAACAGATAATTCTCTGAAGGGTAAGTGACCATATTGTTGAGACATATAAATGATGATTTAAATGCTCATGCTTGCACCTTGGTGGAAATTGTGGTAATAATGCTTAAATATATGTTATCAAGCTCATAAATGTCATTAAAAAAAATTATTGAAGTCAGATGTGTTACGGTGCATGAGATGGGAAATGTTAGCTGTGTTAGGAGGTTGGATGGAGGAGTTGTCCAGTAACATGCACTCCTCTTGCAGAAACATTAGTTTTACTGTCTGATTATTGCTTAGTATTACATGGGATGTCCAGTGAGAGGGATTTAGCTGTGAGCTTGGTTGGTGACAAAATCCAGTGAATGGAAGAGTTTGACTTCCTCTTCTGTGCCAAAGCAGAAAGTGTCAGAAATTCTTTGGGGATCCAACATGTCTTTCACAGAATTATCACATCCATGGAAGTAATGCTTCACTTCAATCCATATAATCCATATAATCAATTGAAAGTTTGTTTTTTTTCCTGGGAAAAATCCATCGAAAGAAAAAGCTTGCAGTTCCACTCTGAATGACAGCACCTCTCTGAATTGCTTATTTGTAAATACTAGCGTCAGAGATCTGGGGATTCCAAGTGTGTAATAACACAAGTGCAACTTAGGACAGGTCAGACAGAAGTTTAATTATCTATGATCATAGTTAATGATGTGGAAAAGTGGGGAGCTGGAAACCATCACTGTTAGTTTTTACTTAAAAAGAATATTCTTTTAGTTACCATAAACTTCTTAGCCAGACCTCTTAAATTTTATGTATTAACTACATATGACCATGTCTATAGAGCAGCAGTAGCAGAACCGCTTTTAAGTTTTCTATCAAGACATCACAACAAAGACAAGTAAAAAAATTGTTCTTTTCATCCAGTCATCTTCAGAAGAAGGAAATATACGTGTGTGTGTGTGTGTGTGTGTGTGTGTGTGTGTGTGTGTGTATTCCTTAGGGAATGCATGAGCGAAAGAAAGCCTTCTGGAGCAGAAGCTATTCACCCCACTTTATTAAAAGGAAGCACATTTAGTCATGTTATGAAGCTTCTGTATACTGGCATGATTAGTCTCACCTCTTTACCTGACTTTTCCAGTTATTTCCTGCCTTGGTCAGTAGTTACCACTCTACTTATTTTTCACTGGTTTTTCTCTAACCCAGCCCTGTCTCTTTGTATTCAGACTCAAGCTATGTCCTTTAGATTATGATACTGCCTTTATCCACCCCCTGCATGGTGATAAGCCTTGCCCAATCCCTCATCACTGAAGCATCATTCTATCCAAGCTCAACAAATTGAGCCTTCTCCAGCTGATATCCATCCAAAATGCTGCTTGCTGAGGTCACCTACCTAGAGCAGTGTTTTTAACAATTTAATCCTCTCTTAACAACCTTCCACACTGATGGTGGCCTCTCAAACTTCAAATATGAGAAGCTCATTTTCTCTTCCAGTGCCCTGTTCAGGAAATGTTAAATTTAGTTTTGAGATGTGTTCACTGCCTGTAATGAGCTTCTGGGACCCTTCCTCTGCTACCTATTGATCACTTTCCTTGACACTTAGCATGTGTGTCCAGTAAAACATCTTTGTCACCACCTCATTATCTCCCTTCAAATGACTGTTTAAGCTGTTCACTGATTAATTCCAATGTGAGAATTATTAGATGAGGTCTTACAGAGGTCAGACTTGTTGATTCAAAGATACACTATGGTCCTAATCATTGAGAATCTCAATGATTTCTGATTTTAAAGATCAAATTTTATTTGATCTTTGTGCTGTGCGTTATCTATGCCATGTGTGTAGCTGGGTATACTTGTTACATTTTACATTCTGTGTATCATATTTCTAAAAGTGTTCTTATTTTGTATAAAACAGAGGTATTTAATGAGACTTTTCTGTATTTTTCAATTAATTTATGTGGTATCTAAAGAAATAGACTCTTCAGAAACCTCCTGCTTCTCTGACTGCTTTTGCTATCGACCTGTCTAGGCAGCATCTTCCCATTTGGCTAATACAGGCCAAATTAAAACACAGAAAAAACCCCATTATTACTATTACTGGTGGTGCAGGACATTAGACAGCAGACCATGATCCCAGTGACAGATAATGAAACATCAACGCATGGGGGTTTTTTTTGATTGCTTTCAGAATTCCCTTTTGAAGGCAAAGGTGTGGTAAAAATTAGAACCTGTGTTTTCTGTTGACTCGTCTTACATTCACTCTCACTCTTCTGTTAAGCAAATAGTGATAGAATAAAGTTACTATTGTACTTTTTGGACAATACAGCAATACTGAATTTTAAAAGCTAGGCTTATTTTCTTTTGGGATGCCCATCTCAAATACTAATAAATAATTTCTTCAAAAATTTTGTAATTTACAGACATATATCAACAAAATCATCGGACTTGGTGTTTAAACTCTGAAAGCTGCACAGGTCTCTAGAGCAATTTCTGTTTCAGGAGAAGAAAGGGTTTTTTTAATATCTATAGGGCTAACTATAGCCTATCATGAATTATAAACTAGATCACAGGCTTCTAATATTTTAGTATCTGGACAGTGACCCAGAACAACCTCTTTCAGTGGCCATAAAAATGATTGATTTTCTTGGCTCATTCATACATAGAAGTATTTTCAGCTAAGATGGCCAGTTTCTGTAATGAGAATGATTTTGAGTTACAGATTTCGGAATTTCACAGAGAGCCTATCTATTCACAGATCAATTATTTGAAACCAGTATCAGTTCTTGCTGTGGCATTTATATGCTGGCATGCTAATTATAAGTAAGTCTTATTTTTGGTTCAGTGATCATGCTGATAATTAATTTTTTTTATACTAGCAATTGCTCTTATTTAAATTTTAAAATTGACGATTTTAAAATATGTATACTAGGGTTGAAATGAAGTCTTGAAAATTACATGCTTACTAGCATGTATTGTCTGGAAATTAGTGTATTGTCATATTTGTTATAATGCTGGTATTTCCCTAAATGTCAAATATTTTATACATCTGACATTTAGAGACTGTGAAGGAAAGAGAAATGGTAAAATATGTGACCATAGAGCTGATTGAAATTTGAATTTAATTGAAATGTGGCCTTATAAATCCAGGTCTATAGGGCTGCTACCCTGGTCATAGATGCAGGAGGTGTGTGACTAAGTATCTGAACCTGTGAAGATTTATAAGAGCCATCATTTTTCATAGCAGTCGTATGAAATAAAAAATGGTACTTGAAAGACAGATTGAGGACCAGGAGGGAAAGTGTGATGAGCAGAGCTGGTGGTTCATCATGATTTCATTTACATGATTGTAAATCTGTGACTGCTCGATGTCACCTGTACGCATTTGGGTTCAGTGCCTGATGACATTTAATAATCTCACAGTCCTGGCCGGGAACCCAGGGCTGGTGTAGCAATGGTGCAAACAAGCGCAACTGTACAGCTCCTGTACACTGGGAACACTGGGGTGCCTTGGATGGAACAACAAATGCAGGCCCAGTAAATACAGCCACTGTTTCTATTGCAGTAAAATCTGGGAGGAACTCCTGAATACAGCATCTATTCAGAGACCTCTGTCCCCTTGCCTTTAAGGGGGATGAATATGCAAGGAATTCCTGAGATGAAATGGTTACAAGAATGATGCCTGATTATGATCAAGATTCTATCCTTCAGTCTGACGGTTTGCAGTGTAATTTTATCTGCTCATTCTGCTAAAAATTGCTCACTGGGGAAATTACAACCACTAAAATCATTTGGGGATTTCAAGCCTGGTAGAATGATTTTTCTCTCATTTTTCTCTCTCTGGCAGGGAAAATACAGCACTTCTTCACAGGGTTGAGAGGAAAGGGGGGTGGGAGAAAAACCATTGGAAGTGGTTCTCCTGGGAGCCTTCCCTGGGGAAAGCACCACTTCTGAATCTAAAGTAATGTTGTTCCAGTGCCTTTGTGTAAAATTAGTCCATACTCATAGCTTAACACTGTAGCAAACTGATTCCCAGCACTGAAGAATCCAGCCTTGCTTTTTTTATCTTTATCACTTTGTTTAGCTCTGTTTTTAACAATCTTGCCACAAAGGCTGCTATAACCCTTCTGGTTTCAGCTGTTCCCAGAAGGGCTGTATGTGCCAATAAACACTGCAGAAATGGCCTGACCAGAAGCTACAACAATACTCATTTATGGATGCATGACTGGTACATTTCTTCTTTCCATCTTTCTTCTTAAAGCTCTGTGGCACAAGGATGGTTTGTAGCGCACAGAACAGCACAGAAGGTAGCTAGGTAGCCAGATGAAGGAGTACAATGCTGACCAATTGTAACATGAGAAGTTTCTGAAATCCTGTGTGGTGGCTATTGTATGGAAAAAGTAAATATACCTGTGCTTACATCCTTGCAACTGTAAACATCCTGTGGCAGAAACGCTCAAAGCCATGAACTGTAACCATTCTAGCTTAAATAATTCTTCTTTTTCTTAGATGTTTTTGATTAATTCTATGGCTATCCATTGTCAGCTTCAGATTAGCCTGTTGTCACATTATTACTTGTGTGCCGAGCAGGACCAGCTGCGAGTACAAAAGCTGTGAAACTCTGAGCTGCAGACATGTTAGATCCTGAGTGGTGAATCCAGTGACAGGACCTTGAAGTGGTTATTGCCCTTAATTGTCATAGCATTCTTAAAATTCTGATAGGCAAGTTGCTGTGAATTACACCTTTTGGGGGTTAGAATATTTGTAATATTTTGTCTAAAGTCTTTTACTATCAGAGCAGCTCTTGGGGAAATTTGGTATGAAATAGGTTAGGCAGAACTAACTTCTACTGATGTAGGCCAAGTCAGTTCTCAGCGGCATACTGATGCAACATTGATCTAAAACAGGTTTCCAAAATGTTGGGCTGTGGTTTTATCTGTTTGCTGAGTACACACAGGACAGGGAGATCTGGATCCACCATCTGGCAAACATGAGGCATGTATGCTGGTCTGAAAGTGCTCCAATTATGACTGTAATTAGCTGCTTGAAATGGGTGCTTGGAAACATGACAAGTGTAGTAAGTGAGACAAGAAGATATAGCAAGTGCATTATTAAGCAAAGCAGTGAGTTAGAGAGCACATGGTCATCCTTGACAGTAGCTGGCTGGTAATGAATAAGAAAATGTGTGGTATGATGTAAAGAAAAAAATAAATACATATTACAATAGAAGCTGGAATGCACAGTTGTTGCTCTCAGACTGCTGGAGGGTTTTGCCTCTCTGTCTGGATTTTTATTCCTAATTTGCTATGCTTTTGTGTATCCTTCTATAAGTGATTCATCTTTTAATGAGTGTTAATTCTAGTCTTTATTTCAGAATTCAGATCTGTGGCAAGTGAAAGAGGAAAATTCTGGACTACTCAGTAGCTAGGCAAGAGTAGGTAAGAGCCCTATTTGTAAGAAAAAGAAATCTAGCAATCAGTAACTGATCTAGTATATTTTCATTTATGCCAGGAATGTATTTCCTTTATTTTTTTTTTTCCTTTTGGTTTTATTTGGTTTGGTTTGGTTTGGGGTTTTTTGTTTTTTGTTTTTTTGGTTGCTGTTTTTGTTTTTTTGGGTTTTTTTTCCCTTTGCTTTGCTACATCCATCCTTCTGAATATTAAAAAAAAAAGGAGGAACATTATAAAAATCACCAGTACTCTTGTGTTGTTGTTTAACCCCAGCTGGCAACTAAGCACCACACAGCTGGTCCCTCACTCCTCACCCTTGCCAGACTGATGGTGGGGAAAATAATTGGAAGGATATAAGTGAAAAAATTTGTGGACTGAGATAAGAATGGTTTAATAATTTAAAGAAAATAAGATAATAATACTAATATTTATAACTGTTAAGGAAAAATAAGGTAATAAAAAAAGGAGATTATTTAAACCCTAGAAAGACAAGTGATGCAAATAAAAAACAATGACCAGTGCCCAGCCAGTCCCTGAGCAGTGGCCTCCAGCCAACTTTCCCCCTACTTTGTATGCTGAGCATGGCACCACACAGCCTGGGATATCCCTTTGGTCAGCTGGGGTCAGCTGTCCTGGCTGTGTCCCCTCCCAACTCCACTTGCTGGTGGGGTGGGGTGAGAGAAAAGGCCTTGATGCTGTATAAGCCCTGCTCAGCAGTAACCAAAACATCTCCATGTTATTACTGTTTCCAGCACAAATCCAAAATACAGCCCCACACCAGCTACTGTGAAGAAAATTAACTTTATCCCAGCCCAAACCAGCACATCTTGATACAAATGGTTAAAACACACTTGCATCCGTTTTCAAGATACAAATTTCATCCACTAAAGTGAAACCTCCGAGGACACACCCACTGGTTTGTACTATTTATGAGATATGTATTATTTATTTAACCTAAATACTTGTGTATGCCTTTCCATCACGTAAAAAAAGCGCAAGAGATTGTGCAGGCAGTGTATTGACAAGCTGCCTGGAACCACTTGTCTAAACCATAGGAACACTCTGCTATGCCTTTTTTTTTTTTTTAATTTATTTGATTCTGTAGCTGCTGTGGTGTAGTTGTGTATCAGTTCTACAGACTGACTTCTTTGGTCTTTCATTTCAGTGCTTTGACATTTCCTTGCCTGTGCACTATGTAAACTCTGGTTACCAGAGTAAGCTAAGTTTGGAATACATTTATTTTAAAGCATTTTGATTCTTTTTTAAAATTGTGGATGTGGGCTCATTAGAAGTGAGTCAATCTGAATTGATTTCAGAATAAATACAAATGTTGAAAACCAACCAGGTTTGGTTAAGAAAAAGAAGGAATACTCCTCATATGTTTCTCAGCTGTACCACAGCATACAAAAACAAGTCCAGCAGAAACCAAAATGTTTCCTGAAATTCATTATTTATTACCTTGGTTACTGTCAAATCATTGTGAAAGTGAATTAAATCACTCACTATGTAAAGCCCAAAACACCTTGGCTGTGACTCGGTTTCCAAAATGTGGAATACATTTAATACTCGTTTGAATAAACCTATGGTTTGGCCACCTTTTTTCTGTCTGTTCTAAACACCTGTTTTCATCTAGCTCTACAGGATGGACCACAGTTCTGCATTTAGCTTTACACTCCGAACAGCTCTACTGAAATCAATGATAGCAGTTGACTTTGAACACAACCCACAATATCACACTTCATTTCCTCTGGAAAAGAAACCCTGGGGAAAACTACAGTGTAACTAGCCAAACTGATGGGAATTTTATAAGATGACTGTAAAACACTTAAAACTCAACTATGCTCTTGTGACTTCATTCTGTCCTTTCTCTTTGAATGCTAGCTCATTTCTCCTGACCTTGTGTTACTTGAAAGCTGACCTATTTCATGCCAAAAGAAAGCTTCAGAAAAGATTTGTGACAGGAGAATGTTTCAAGGAACTAGGAAAAGAGTAAAGGAAAGGAAAATTATGTTTGACAAATTAAAAAGATGGTTCCTTAAATCCACATTATTAGTTGATTAGTTGGTACATTTTAATCCAGAAATCCAGGCTGGTTTTGACTTTACTGCCTGATTTTCTGTTCTAGTGCATTCAAAAGAAAAAACAACTACGATCCATCTATGTGTTTGATGACTTACTGCATGCAATTTTGAGTTGTTTGTAGTATTCAAACATGTCACTAGATTTACCATTCTCATATGTAATTATTCTTTCATACATCATTGTACCTATCAAGCATTTTCAAACAAGCTACTTTGTTCTTCATCTGTAATAGCTGTATTATAGAATTATTGATAGATTAAACTAATCTTGTAATTTCCTTATTGCATCAAATCCATCAAGATTTTTAGCAAATGCTTATTTTAGTGTCTTGCCCACTATTTTATGTTACTCAGTAGTTAAGATATGGGCTTGACTTTTAAGAAATATGAGGTCAAAATCATGTTTTGCTCATACTTTCTTGGTTAACTAAGTCCCTATGCACAGGAACAAAATAAGCATCTTGTATCCTCTAGCCCTCCAGTTTCTCTGTGTATCTAGTTTAGGGTTAGATAATGTCTGAGTGTAATTTCAGACAGCTTAGTTTAGGAAGGACCAGTCACTCTGAAAGTGATTGCTTCTCCTTTGCTTCATGATGAGAGGAACCCAGGTTAATAACTCAGATTAAGAAACTAAAAGTTCTATGAACTTTTAGTGAACCTCAGTCTTCCAGTGTTTCAGCTCCTCCTCTCTGAAGCAGACATGGCAGCATTACCATTCCTCAGGAAGCTGTCACAAGGATGCTAATAATTCCGAGGTATTTATGAATCATAATAGAAACTTATATGAATATAAATATTTATCTCATGCAAAAAGGAGAGCTTCTGACTCCATCCAATTGAGACTTCCTTGTAGTTTTGCATTTACCAAATATATTTTTGCTACCATTTGTTATTAGAGAGATTTTGCATATAACATGTGGGAAATCTGAATTTTTTACATATTTTTACAGGCTTCTTTAAAAGCAAAAATGTAATGGTATATATATTACCAAGACTTCTAAAGAACAGACAGACCCTTAAACTGCCTTATTGCACCTTAAAAAATAAGCAGCAATCCATCTTAGAGCCATCCCTGGGAAAGAAAAGTTCCACTATGAAGTGCCACAGCAAAGAGGGAATTTGAGACTTTCTAAATATGGGGTGGGAGTTTTTCCTTTGACTATGGAATCTGAAGGGCATCTGTATTCTGGAGTGCCATTTCCAGCAGTGAATGCAATGAAACATGGGCAGCTTGAATTAATCATGATGATCTCATGTCACCTCACAAAAAAAGATAGGAAGCATAATCAAAATCAAAAATGTGTGTTAAGCTGGAGAGAGGCACTTCAGAAAACTTTTCTAAGCTTACCTGATTTATTTTATTTTTTTTTTTTAGGTAATGGGCTGCATGGAAGATGACTCAATGAAACATCCCAGCATGAGTCATTATAGCCTAAGAAAGAAAACACATGAAGTGGCAAATCAGATGGTTTGATGGACTGTGTTGCTGCTCCATGTAACTTTGTGTATGTAGGATCTCTGGTAAGGCTGGGCTGTCTGAAGCTGGTTCCTCCTCCAAGTTGATAATATAGGCAGTGTGTAGGGGGTGAATACTGGTGTGGTGTGTTTTGCGGGCGAGCGCACTCCTGCGTTTGCTACAGCATTTCTGGTGCTATGTCACTTACTGTTATGTCACTCATCGCTTTTTTTTTTGATCTTATTGCAGCTCAACAGCTAGTAAGTTCAGAATTAATGTGCAGCAGTAGCTCCCCATGGAGCAGATATTTAAGGCCAGTATTTCAATATCAAAATCCCATAGGCACAAATTAAAACCACTCTCCTTGCAAGATTTACAGCTCTCTTTCTGATTAGCAAGAGCCAGACATTGTTTCCTGAAATGTCAGTTTTGCTGCAGCTCAGTAATGGATGTGACACTAATTAAAGAAAGCAGAGGAGACAAAAGCATTGCTGTTGTAACTCTGGCAAAGCTGCAGGCAGATAAGTATTTGACTCTAGTGTTGTGTTTTGGATACCTGCACAGAGTAATACTTGCATCTGTGCCAGTAGTTTGTAGAGCACGTTACTTCTCTTTTGCATACTTTCTTCTGTATCAGGCACCTTTTTGCAATGCAGAGGCATTTAGCTTCTTTCTCCATGGAGCAGGCTGTGTGGTTCAGGGAAAGCACATTTTATTTCATGTGCATTTTCCTATGGAGAAATCTGCTCTTCTGTCTGTACGCGCGAAAAGTAATGGAAATCTCTGGTACAAATGGGGTGGAATATGTGAGAAAGTATCAGAAGTCTGTATGTCCTCACTAATCAAGAGGAAATGGTCTGTACTTCATGAAGGGAGCATTCTATTTTTGCATAACTGGCTACAGATTTTTGAGACAACCAAGACTTTGAGAGAAGGCCCTGACCCTTTCAGCTCTTGGTCTGTAGCACTGACCCGATAGCTGGAGCTGTCAAGATGTAAACTGAGCTTCAAAAAGTGCCAGTAGCTCTGTATGAAATTTGTAAACATGGATCACAAAATAGCTGTAAGGGAGAATTCAGCCAGTCCTTGCAGTCTGGAGGCCCTTTGTTTTATTCCCTCTGTTTATATAATTTTGAACAGGTCCCTGATGAAGTGCTGCCTTAGACTTCAAAGCCAGAAATCAATAAGTATATTTTAACTTTAAGGTTGTTGGGATTCAGTTCCTTGGATGGGTATGTACAGAGTGCATGGATGCGGAGATTTAATGTAGCAGTTTGTTATTTTCCTAATTATGCATCTTTTGTAGGATACATTCTTGAGCTGGTAAGGGAGCAGCTAACTAGGATTTACTTGGCTGTGCAAACAGCCAATGCTGAATGAAATGCCTGGATGGACACAGATTCTAGAAAGCTGCTGTTTTCCTTGTTAGCCTTTTTCAACCCCTTTTCAAGCAGTCAGATTGCTTTAGAATTAAGGTCATTAAGAGAAATGGTTAGTTCCTCAAATCAAAGATGTCCAGACATAGGGAAGGAGAAATTCCTCACTGCAAATATAGCATGGAAGTATAAAGAAATAAAATATGCATAGCTTAAGCTCTTTTAGGTGAAAGGGGAGAATTACAAATTCTCCACTTCCTTCCTTGGCCCCTTGGCTGTGTGATGCACACACATTCTCCATCTCTCTTGACTGAGAGAGATGGAGAAAGCCAGGTTACTTTATGCAGACATATTTTAAGGTATACCTGTGCAAACATACAACATGTGTGGCATGCAAAGGATGGTCTTCTGCTTTCTAGAAAAGGAACCAAACCCTCCAATATTTCTAAACAATTCTTTGCACATTGAAGTGGTCACTGTCCCAGTCCAGCCTGGTGCAGCTGCACAGGGTCCTGCTTTCAGCAAGCAGCTGAACTGGGTTCAATACTAGGTTCTCTGTAAATAAATTGCAGAGTTAAATATTTAGTTCACTTCAGCATTACTGCAATGTTTTTCAGATGTCTTCTGGCTGGTGTCATTACTGGTTGTCACAGAATGCTTATTACAGCATTGCAGGGAGCTGTTTCCACTACAGAGCAAAAGCAAGCCTATCTGCTGCTCCCTACCAAGAAGTCAGTGCTTTACTGCTCAGTGCAGAAAAGACAGACTGCTGTTCAAATAAAACTGTCCAGCACTGTCTGTAATGGTAGAATGGTTAATTGTGCCATGAATAAAAATTGTGAATACATAAAATGCTGGAATAGTGGCCTTTGTTTCCTTTAGTTAAATGTGTTCAGCTGGTTCAGGTGAAAATTGTACTGAGCCAGGGTCCTATTATTATCCTACTACTGCTAACTTAATTAATAGCTCAGCGCTGGCAGGTATAATTTTGTGCTGCTTACTATATAACAATGCAGCACAGGGCTTACCAGTGAAGACAGTGGAAGGTATAACGGATGGATGGGGGAAAAAACACCCCAAACCAGATGAGCTGGAGCACAGGTGGTATGTGAGAGAAGGGAGGAGATGACAGTGCAGCAGGTTTTTATAAACCTGATCATTAATTTGGCTCATGTGTCTCTTTACTAGGTATGCTCGGCTAGAATACATAATAGAGCTCAGTCTGGAGTCATTTAAGGCCACAGTGGCTTGGTGAGGGAGGACCAGTTCACATATGAAAGGCAGAATCTGAGAAAGTTCTGACAGGAGGGAGAATTAAGCTTTTGGGCAGATTTTATCCTGCAAATTCTTTAAATGTGCTAGCGTAGCAGTGAAAGTAATCTCTGGTTTAGCTGCTCAGAGAAGCTGCCCTCACTCGTGAGTTGGTGAGTTGGCCTCTTGGATCTTTTTTTATTGTTTTATTGTTTTTTTTATTGTTACTTGATGACCCAGCTGGCAGCTTTTCTCTTTTAATGTTTAATTAATTGCATATATATTTCCTATGCAGATTCATTACACAGCTTGACTCTGAGTTGCTTTTTTTCAGTCCTCTCTTCCGCACAGTTAGCGTTTATGTGGCTTTTCCTCATAGTGATGTGTTCTGGAGCAAAGTACATCTCTCTTCTCTTAACTAAATAGCAGCCCACAAGACAGAGTGGTACATAGAAAAAGTAAAAACAGAAAAGTGATGAGAAAGGTGATGAAAAAATATAAGATTGTTTCCCTATATCAGAAGAATTGTTCCACTTTTGTTTAACCAAGTGAAATTTCCTGAGGGGTAAGAAACAAATGATTCCTACCATAAATGAACTGTGAATTATTTTTGCAGATAGAATTTTTAACTATACCATATCTGATCCTCCTGCTGGTGGGAGCAGAATGTAACAGCCTGTAAACCAGAAACCAACTAGTTCAGTTGAGTGTTTATTGTCTGTTTATTCGGATTACATTTGTAGTTTGTTTAGCCATTCTCTAATAGTAAAAGAAAAAGGTGAGAATTTTGTTGATTCATATTTTCAAATCTACAGATTTCAAGGATGCAGCTCTTGCAATATTGCAGAATAACATAAAGACATGTTAATGATGAGACTGCTGTTCTACTCACAGGCAGCAGTAAAAAATGCAGGGCAAATTCTGCAATCTCAGATATTTGAAACCATGACCTGTACATCTAAAGTTTGTGAGAACAGCCTTCATAATATAAGGTGCTTTCTAGTTTATTTAGTAATAAATTGTGGTTGTCCTATTTTCCTTCTGTTTTTCAGCCATTAGGATTCCCACGAACATTTAGCCCATATTTGTAATTAGTGTGTTTTGTTTTCCACATACAGCAGTGAAGCTAGAAGTGCTGAAATTGTATCTCCATTGAAGTCTGTAGAAGTGTCTAGCTACTTCAGTGTTTTACTATCACTTTTTCCATGGTAGACATGTGACCAAGAATTCTGAGCACAAATGCCATTCTTTTGAAGGTAATGAACTGAGGCAGAGATTGAGACCATCCTGCTCTTCCTTTTTCTTATTAGCTAGAGTTATCTCTGTAAGCTGTGTGGTGCAGAGAATTGTCTTCATCTATACTGCACTGTGTATAATACAATGCTACTGGGATATAAATAGTAAACAATGCTGATTAACAAATTCAGATAACTAAGTAGGTGCCTCTACCTTTGTTGCTTTGAGAATTTGAGATCTTGTCTTTAGTAGGAAAATAAGGCAGACATACAAATTGAAGCTTTCCTTATGTTTGAAAGATATTGTGGTTATTAAGACCCCAAGAGAAATTAAATTGTGCATGGCTTAATTTGAAAAGTTGCTTCTTTATGCATCCAGAGTGCTAGTGCCAATTCCAGAAATTTTGTTGGTGTTTGGGGAGAGAAGGCAAACAAGCAGAAATATCCAACTTATATTCTAAGAAACTCAGGAGATAAAATGAAAAAAAAAAAAAGAACAACACTAATCTTAGGTATACAGAGGATTCATGAGCTTCTACAGAAACCACCTATTTAAAGTCATCATATTTTATAAATAATCCAGTGGATTCTGGAGTGTGTGTTTTTCCTTGTCTATTGTTCTCAAGAGACTTTGTTTGGTTTGATCTATGCTGTTTTATGTAGTCAACTTGAGTAAGAAGAGAGTGCCAGTTTTTCTGTTGAAATACATGTGACCTGCCAACCATCAAAACCCAGCATTTTTAAGAAAAAAGGACATTTTAATTTGTGAAAGGCATGTCCCAATCAATCAAAACATGCTAGTGAAAAAAACTACAGAACTTTAATCAAAAAAGCTAAATAATAAAGGCAAAATGCTGGACCTTGAGCTGGATGTCATTTGGTGCAGATTTGTTGAACCCCCATGCTGGTTACCAGGATAAAGATGTGATGCATGTTTCTGTTTACATCTCTGGTTTTATTTGGATCTCTTTATTTTTTTCCCTCTGGGAAAGTTGTTCTTTGACCCAATCATTTTTACAATGAAAATAAATATCTGCAGTAGCTGTTTTCTTGCTGAAACAATTTTTTTTTCCTATTATTGCAAACATTAGCTAGACACAAATGGGAACTGTAACAGGGTAATATTGTAAGCTTTGAAATAAGCTGATTTGAAATGTTGAATTGTTGTAGGAAGTTGTAGGAAGCCTTTGGTGTAAAAAGAGG